GGGGGGGGGGGGGGGGCGGGCGCATCTAAGTCTCAGAGGACTGGGCAGCTGGAGTGCGTCAACAGACTCAAGTATAAAGACCCACGGACCCATCAGATGACCGTGTTCCTCTGGAGGGCCCAAAGGACACTCCTTCCAGCCAGATGACAAGGAACGAGCTGGGGGGCGGGGGGCGGGATACGGTGCCCTGGGGAAGCTCAGTGGCGTCTGTCTTGTTCAGGAGGTTGTGCTCCAGAACCGAGGCCCCAGAGGAGGTGATGACGGGACCCAGAACAGTGGAAGCCGTAACCTCGCCTACTCAGCCACACTGAGGGGGGTGGGACTGCCGCAACAGGCCTCAAGGTTAGAGTGGCACGCAGGGCACCCCGACCCCCAGGGATGTGGATGATGTCCGACAGATCACGGCGCTCCCAGGGGTCAGAGATGGACAACCAGTGCCTGCACGTGCACGTGCGCGCGCGCGCACACACACACACACACACACACACACACACACACACACACAGTAAGATCAAGGGTAGGAGCAGAAGGCTGGCGTCGGCCACCTTGATGGAAAGTCACAATTCTTTTTCTCATTTCCACATCGAATTCGGTTCTCAGACCTAGACCCATGGACTGAAGGAGGGGCAGGCTCCCTGTAGGGAAGGCCCAGGCTAATTCACAGCAAGTGTACACGGCAGCCATACCCTCAGCCCTTCCCAAAGGTATCTATGACCACTTCCCTCATGTCTGCACACAGGAGAGGGGAAACGCCCAGCCGTTTAGAGGTCTGTTGGAGACAGGGTCTGAGCTAATACTTGGCCCACGTCCATCTTAGCCTACCCAGTGGCTATTGCCCCCTAGCTGCTGCATGCATAACCAAGACCGATGTATTTGGCACCTGGCAGAATTCTCAGATTAGTACCTTGACCTGTGGAGTAACAGCTATTATCATGGAAAAGCCCAGTGAAAGCTCCTGAAACTCTACCCCCCCTCCACAAACCAGCCGAGATAAGAAATAAAAAACAAACCCACATCCAGAGTGGAACAGCAGTGACAAGCGCCACTGTGAGGGACTTCTGAGGCTTTGCCTTTATCTGTGGGGACCCAAGGATGCTGCTTCCATTGTTTTCCCATTGAATTCATGAGCCTGGCCCTGCAAAGATCAGACGGCTCGTGGCAGGAGAGGGGAACTAGGACAGATTTAACCTAGTGGTGGCCCGAGCGCCACTGCTGAGCCTGAAGCAGGCGCTTTACCAGAACAGATGACACAGCTGCTGGTGTGTGGCGTGCAGCCACTGACTGGACACACACATTCTTTCCGATCCCATCAGCAAAGAGGGTTGGTATTTTGCATTCACCTATAGTGTGCATAACACACTATAAAGCCAGTCCCCAGTTATGATGGTTCGGCAAACGACTTTTTGACTTTACAGTGGTGTGAAAGTGATATGCAGATAGTAGAAACCGTATTTCAAATTCTGAACTTTGATCTTTTGCCGGGCTAGCGATATGGGGTCCACTCCTCTCCTGTGACGCTGGGCAGTGGCTGCACCTCCAGCTCAGCCCCACGACCACAAGGGTAAACAACAATTCTGGACCCAGACAGCCATTCTGTTTCTCACCTTCAGTACAGCATTTGATCATTTACATGAGACAGTCAACACTTTATTATAAAATAGACTCTGTGTTAGATGATTCTGCCCGGAGTGTTCTAAGCACGTATAAGGCAGGCCGGACTAAGCTATGATGTTTGGTAGGTGAGGGATCGTAAATGCATATTGACCTATGATATTTTCAACTTACAATGGGTCCATCAACCCTGGCTCAGGGCTGATGATAAACGGACAGGTGCACAAACTCCGGCCGGAGCCAGTTCTGGACCGGAAGCTCAGGCCACTCAGGGGCGAGGGCCGAGGTCATGCCAGGAGGTGAGCCCCTGATGCATGCAGACCAGAAGAGGTGCCATCTGAGGGTGAGGAGGTGCTAGAGTGGGGATGGGGGATGGAGAGACGCCGTCCGCGGCCTGGGGTTTGGCGGGGGGAGGGGCTGCGGTTCATCTCACCCTTCCGCACCCAGGTTCTCCAAGGACAAGAGACACTCCTGCCCAAGGAGCCGCTCGGAGGGTCTGGGCAGCATTAGAGGTGGACGGTGTGCACAGTGACGTGCCCCAGGGACCCCTCCTTCCCGAGCCATGGGCTGTGCTGTCAGGAGGGAGCTGGGGCTGCGCTACACACCCCGTCCGGCTCTGGCGCCTTTCCTTGCGATGGCACATGCGTGTGGTCCAGCGACCTGCTGTGGGCTTTTGGACCCTTTGCCACACAGAGTCGGGAGGCCACGGAAATGTCTGTCCCTCTGGGACCTTTCGCTGACTAGGTGCTGGGTGCAGGGGCAGGAAAGGCCGCTTCCCCAGAGCGTAACCTGCACTCAGGTCCCTGAAGGGCAGGCTGCTCTCCAAGGACGCTGCCTGAAACCCAGACTTGCTGCCCCCCAGCCCGACTGCATGAGTGGTTGTTCCGGGCGCCCTGCCTGAGTCAATCCGTGCACCCGATCGTCGGGGTAGATATCCACGGGCCCTATCGACGCTGATACACACAGCGTCTGACCCCAGGTGTCACCCAAGGTGGGGAGTGACAAAGGGCCTGGGCATGGGGACCAGGCACCAATCCCTAACTTTGTCACAAATGACCTGCTGAGCAACTTAGATGTAATTCCCAAACCCGTCAGAATGCCCTGGAAATGCAAGGGACCCAGAGTAGCCGAACTGTCTCGAAAAAGAACAGGTTGGAGGACTCACACTTACTTCCTGACCTCAAAACTCACCAGAGAGCTCTAATTGTCCAGTCAGTGTGGCACCAGCAGGACAGACACACAGCTCAGTGAACTAGAACTGCAAGTCCATAAGTAAACCCCTACATTCACTCCATAAATAAACCCCTACGTTCACGGTCAATTAATTTTTGAAAATGATGCCAAGCAATTCAATGGAAGAAAGAATATAGCTCTTTCAACAAACAGCACTTGGACGACTGCACGTCCACATGCAAAAGAATCAGGTTGGATCCCTACCTGACACTATCCATAAAACTAACTCAAAGTGGATCCTACACCCAAAATGTAAGAGAAAAAACTATAAAACACTTAGAAGAAAACAAACACAGGAGTACCTCTTTGTGACCTTAGGTGAGGCAATGGTTTCTTAGAAATGACACCAAAAGCATGAATGAACAAAGAGGAAACAGACACGTGGGACTTCACCAAAACCAGACTTCCGCTGCAGATGGTGTCAACCAGAAGAAAGAAAACCCACAGGACTTCCCTGGTGGCGCGGTGGTTAAGAATCCGCCTGCCACTGCAGGGGACACAGGTTTGAGCCCTGGTCTGGGAAGCTCCCACATGCCGTGGAGCAACTAAGCCCGTGTGCCACAACTACCGAGCCCACGTGCCACAACTACTGAAACCCACACGCCTACAGCCCGTGCTCCACAACAAGAGAAGCCACCGCAATGAGAAGCCCACGCACCGCAACAAAGAGTAGCTCCCGTTCGCCGCAACTAGAGAAAGCCCGCGTGAAGCAACGAAGACCCAGTGCAGCCAAAAGTCAATAAATTAATTAATAAATTTATTTTTAAAAAAAGAAAGAAAACCCACGGACTAGAAGAAAATCTTTACAAATCGTCTGTCTAAGGCACTTGTGTGCAGAATATGTAAATAAATAACTCTTATCGATCAATAATAAAAAACAGAAATAAGGAATGTAACTTCAGCTCTTTCATATAAAGAACTCAAAGCCATCACTCCCACCCTGATAGCAAGAACAAAGTGAGACCAACAGGAAATCAAGGACAGCTCCACACCTGCAGTGCCCCTGCCGGCACCAGGGGCTGCCATCAGGGGAGGGGATGGGAGCCCACCCACCTTCTCACTGAGAAATTGAGGCTTCCAGGGAAGACCCCATCCTGGCCCCTCACCACAGGGAGAAGAGGCTGACGCCCATCTCTCTGCCCAGGACCCAGGCCGGGGGCAGCACAGGCCCCCCAGGTGTGAGAGGCTACATCCCAGGGCATCCCCACAGGCTCTGCCGGGTCCGGGGGCTGGGGGACTGCCGAGCGCATACAGTGTCCCCGCTGTGAACACCACCATCCACACCCGCAGCTCTAGTTGTGTTGTGAACGCCGGCCGTACCCCGGGGACAGGTCCAGGCTGGATCCCCTGCTCCCCGGGAACGCCCCCCACTTCCAAGTGCAGCTGACCTGGGGCAGGACGGGGGCTGTGACAGGTTAAACCATGTCCCCAGGGCGGGGTCCTGGCCCCATTTCCTCAGAATGTGAAACGACGTCCCTGCAGATGCCACCAGTCAAGTAAAGGGCAGGTCACCTGCACTACGCATCCTACCCAGTGTCCCTGGTGTGCTCGTGCGAAGAGGAGGCAGAGACACCCACACGCATGTGCGCACACGCACGCACGTGCACTCACACGCAGGCGCGCACACACGCACACATTCACGGGTACACACGCACACAGGTGGCCCCGTGACCACGGGGGCAGAGCCTGGCCCTACGCAGCCGCAGCAGAGCCCGGTGAGGCAGGAGGCACCCGCACACCCCGACGGCAGAGGAGGGCGCGCAGGGCGGCAGGAGCAGCCGGGCTGGGCGGGGCCCGGGCTCACCGGCCGGGAGCCGCCGTCCCGCGACCTGGTTTTGGCCAGACGCTTCTTCTTCTTGTGCAGCGGCCGCGACTCCAGGATCATCTCCTCCAGCTCGAAGGTGGGGTCGCAGTGCAGGCGGCCCTTCTGTGGAGGACGGTGCTGAGCCCGGCACCGGGCCACCCTCGCCGCCCCGCCCGCCCGGGCCGCGGGCTTACGTTGGGCACGAAGCCGGGCTCCACCTTCTTTTCACTCAGCTCGGCCCACGGCACGGCGGCCAGCGCGGGGGCCGCCTGCATGTCCTGCAGGCTGGACACGCGGTGCTTGGGGTTCACGGTGAGCAGCTGGAACGAGGCCCCGGTCAGCCTGCCCCGGGCCCAGGTCCGCCCGGCACTCACCGGCCCCGGCGCGGGTCTCCCTGGACCCATCAGCAGGCAGCAGCTGCAGCCTGGCCGACTGGCCGACTGGCCTCCCGCTTGCAGCCCGACAGGATGGTGACTGTCACGGCCCCAGGAGGCCCCGGGGCAGCCGTGCATGCGTGGCCAGCATCACAGCCATCGCCTTTTCCGGGGGAAACAGCAGAGACCCAGTCCAAGGCTCCCCAGCCTGGTGTGCGGACCCTCCTCACCCCCGGCCCGGGCCCGCGGCGGCCGAGGTCCCACCGTGTGAGCCACCTGGCTGGTGTGGGCACAGCTGCGCGGGGCGAAGGCTGTGTTAAGAGCCCCTCCCGGGGGCTGGGGGAGGGCCTCTAGCCGCTTGGCTACACTTCCCGGGCCAGAGGTCTCCGGGCAGGGGCCACGACCTGCCCAGCAGGACCCCGGGGCCAGGAGACAGGAGCTGGGGGTGGGCCGGGCCACAAATGCCCAGCACGCCCTCCCTCACCCATCCTGACCCAGCTTCGACGCCCCAGTGTGCTTGAGGGACGGCTCTCCGAGTGGGGAGCTGGCTGGCCAGCCGAGGAGCGGCCCCCCGGCCCGGACCTGGACCCCAGGGGAGGCACTCCAGTGGTGATGCCACAGCCCCAGGTCCCCACAAGGCTGAGGTCCCCACCAGGCTGAGGTCCCCGGGCTGCCGCTGACTCGCGCTCAGGACCTGGGATGCGCGGGGGTTCTGGGATTTTCTCTGCTTGCTCCCCGTGGGGGGATGGCCAGGCCAGTGGCTGCCCACCTCCAGCAGGAGGCATGGGGCAGAGGGGACCAGAGCAGGGCGGCCCCGGCACCCAGGCCCACACATCCTCCCTCCAATGCACACGATGGGGTGACCTGCCCTGAGTCTGGGCATCTGTGACGTGCAACCAGGTCGTGAGGGTTAAATTCAGCTGCACCAGTGCTCACGTGGGCCGAGCTGTTACAGCAGAACAAGGAGCGGGTGGCCGCTGGAAGCCCAGCCGGAGAGGGACACAAGACGCAGGAGGCGTGAACCAGATGCCTTCTTGGGACCAGGGCCTCCAGGCTGCCCACCCTCGGGACGTGATGCCCGTCGAGCCCCACGTGTCCGGCCGGGCCTGCGCTCCAGGCAGGGCTGGGCGGGTCTCACCTTCCGCAGCAGGGCCACCACCTCCTTGGACCAGGTGGGCACGTACTGGACGCTCACGGTGCTGAACAGCTGCACCAGGGACTCCGCGGTGTTGCCCGAGTGGATGTCGTAGGGCCTCTGGGCAGCAGAGGCAGAGCTGTAGCAGGCACCTCCCCGAACCCAGGGCCACCCGAGGCGCGCCCTACCTGCCCCCAGCCCCCAGTGCAGGCCCAGGGAAGAGCCCAGGAGGCCAAGCCTGCAGTGCAGCCAGGGAGGCGACCCTAGAGGCTGCCAGCAGGCTGGGAAGGATGCACAGCACCCCCAGGGCGCCTGGGCCTGGTGGACCAGCTGCAGAGGGCAGAGGGGGCTGCCTTGCTTAGGGCCTTCTCCAGGGCACAGTGCCTCGGAGGCCCCGAGGTGGGAAGGGCAGGTGGTGACCTGACAAGGCCCCCAGCCTCCGGGGCTCCAGCGCTGTCCAGGCCGTGGCAGCTGCAGGGAGAGCACAGGGCCCCACCCACACACAAGCCTCACGGGAAGTCCCAAGGGGGCAGCCCTGCTGGACGGTTCTCTGCCTGCCCCCAGCCCCCTCCAGCGTGCAGCCTCGCTGACGGACAGCACGGACCGCCCTGAACACCTGGGGGTGGGGGCAGCCTCACCCCTTTGGGAGCTGGGGCCACCCCGGGGGGACGCAGCTAGCTCAGGGTCTGGGGACTGAGCCCGCAGGCCGCAGGAGCTCCGTACCCATCCACGCAGCAGTTCGTAGGCCATCACCCCCACTGACCACCAGTCCACCTCGAAGGAGTAGCCAGTCCCACCGTTGACGAAAGACTGGAAGATCTCCGGAGCTTTCCAGGGAGGGAAGGATCAGCTGAGCATTCCTGACCGCAGGGCCCGTGACCCCTGCCCCAGTGTCCGCAGGGCCCGTGACCCCAGCCTCGGTGACTACAGGGCCCGTGACCCCAGCCCCGGTGACCGCAGGCCCAGAGACCAGGCTGCCGCCAGAGCTGGACTAGGAAGCTGCCCTCAGCGGTCAGTCTGTCCTTCCCCACCGACCGCCTGGTTCAAATCCCGGTCCCACAGCCTGACGAGGGCGGTGGGCTATCTCATTATCAGACCCACAGTACACGCCGGTCACTCGGATTCTTCTGCACGGATCAGGCCTGGCTGTTCTTAGCCTGACCCGTCCCCTGCTGCTGTGCCTTTAGGTCAGTGACCCGACCCACCAGCCACAGGCCCGGGGAGACCGGCCGGCAGGCTGGCGGGGGGCGCGGGCTGGGAGCGGCGAGGCTCACCCATGTACGGCTTGGTCCCGGCCAGCGCGGTCGCCCTCTCGCCATCCTTTATGATGGTGGCGATGTTGAAGTCAGTCAGGTGTGCATGGCCTGCGAGGAGAGAGAACAGCATGACTGTCCCAAGGGGATGTGTCCTGCGGGCAGCGGCGCACACCCTCTGCGGCTTTGGGCTCACACGCCTAGGCTCACCTCGCTCATCCAGGAGGATGTTATCGGGCTTCACGTCTCTGTAGAAAGAGCAGGAAGCAGGGAGATGAGTCCAAAGATTCCGGCAGGGCTGGGGGTTCCCACGAGCTGGGTCCTAAGACCCCCTCTCCACCTGGCAGCACCCTGGCAGAGCTGGGTGAACCCAGCCCTTCACCTCCTGAGGCCAGACGGCGGGGAGAATGCCCAGCACCGGACGCCGAGGGGCACCGAAGCCCCCAGAGGATGAAAGCAGAACCCCCTGGCCTGGACCCCCGAGGCGGGGCCCTCTCCCAGAGCCCTGCAGCTGCGCAGAATTGTCAACTGGGGGTCTGTGGCTCCACCAGCTGGCCTCAGGCCTTGCCCTCCCAACCTCTCGGCACTCAGCATGTTCGGTGCCTGCACCGCGACCGGGTAACAGTCCCACAGGCAGAAACGCCAAGCCACACCCACTTCACTTTAGGCCACGTGTTGGGATTTTGGGTTTTATCCTGTGGATGCGGCTTCATCTTTCTCATTTCATCTGCCTTCTGATGCTAAAATTAGTTTGAATGTTAAAATGTTAAAATTAGCTTGAATTTGCCAAAGACATGGCAGATGGGCACAAGGGCACCTGCTGGGCGGGGGCAGGAATCCTGCAGTTGAACAAACCAGGTGAAGCCGCCCTCCCCACCCCATGAAGGCCACCAGCCGTCTGTGCCCGGCCTCAGCTGGGGCTGCTCAGACAGGACCCACCCCAGGTGGCCATGATACGTGCAGCCATGGAGCTGGCCTCGGAGCCAGGCACTGACGGGCCCGGTGCCACACTGGGGGCAGGGCTGCGGGTAAGGGCAGGGCAGAGCACACAGGAGCCCATCTGGGTCCTGCTGGAGGGCGGCACCCGCAGGCCTGGGCAGGCACCCCGCCCCGTCAGGTGTGCACACACCTGTGGATGATGTGCTGACTGCGCAGGTAGTCAAGGGCCAGTGCCATTTCACAGATGTACAGCCTCACGGTGTCCTCAGAGAACTGGACGTTCTGCTGCAAGTGGTAGCGCAGGTCTCCCCCCGGCAGCAGATCCACCACCATGAACATGTCCTCCTCGTCCTGGAAGGAGTACCTGTGGGCACCGTGGGAGGGCCTGGCATGCGCACGGCTGGGGGCCAGAGCCACAGCTCCTGCCACACCTGACGAGTCCCCCCATAAGGGCCCTGGCCCCAAGGCCACCCCCCACCAGGCACTCCCAGGAGAGGGGCCCTGCCCAAGGTGCTGACTCCACCGCTGCTCAGGAGCCACCTGGAGCCAGAGCCCTCGGGCAAGACAGAGAGGCCGGTCCCCATGGGAGGTGCCCAGCTGGGACAGAGATGCCCATGGCTGACTGATGGAGAGTGGAACACAGCACTGCCTCTGGGCCATTTTCTTGCTGCCCTGGTTTCCTCTTCTCCAAAAAGGGGATAAAGATATCTGCCTTGGAGGGTTGTTAAAGAAGAAATTGAGACAGTGAGGAGAAATGTTCAGGTAGGGCTGGGCAAGGGACCAGCTTCTAACAGCTGGCAGCTGTAGTGACTGTGGTGGTGATGGTGGTTGTGGTGGTGGTGATGATGGTGAAGATGGTGGTGGTGATGGTGGTGACGGTGGTGATGGTGGTGGCGGTGATGGTGGTGATGGTGGTGACGGTGGTGATGGTGGTGATGGTGGTGGCGGTGATGGTGGTGATGGTGGTGATAATGGTGGTGACGGTGGTGATGGTGGTGATGGTGGTGGCGGTGGTGGTGATGGTGGTGGCGGTGATGGTGGTGACGGTGGTGATGGTGGTGGTGGCAGTGACGGTGGTGACGGTGGTGATGGTGGTGGTGGCAGTGACGGTGGTGACGGTGGTGATGGTGGTGGTGGCAGTGACGGTGGTGACGGTGGTGATGGTGGTGGTGGCAGTGACGGTGGTGACGGTGGTGATGGTGGTGGTGGCAGTGACGGTGGTGACGGTGGTGATGGTGGTGGTGGCAGTGACGGTGGTGACGGTGGTGATGGTGGTGGTGGCAGTGACGGTGGTGACGGTGGTGATGGTGGTGGTGGCAGTGACGGTGGTGACGGTGGTGATGGTGGTGGTGGCAGTGACGGTGGTGACGGTGGTGATGGTGGTGGTGGCAGTGACGGTGGTGACGGTGGTGATGGTGGTGGTGGCAGTGACGGTGGTGACGGTGGTGATGGTGGTGGTGGCAGTGACGGTGGTGACGGTGGTGATGGTGGTGGCGGTGACGGTGGTGACGGTGGTGATGGTGGTGGCGGTGACGGTGGTGATGGTGGTACAGTGGTGATGGTGGTGACGGTGGTGATGTTGAGGATGGTTTTGGGGATGAACGTGATAAAGAAGAAGACTGTGGTGAGATGATGAAGATGGTGGCAGTAGGAAAACAATGGTTTAAGGACCTCCGTCCACTTTGTAATCTCTTCTGTGAGCTCTCAGATAATCAACTGGCTCTCGACTCAAGAGTAAAGTTACAAAGAATTAATTTTTCATGTCATGCTCCTCTCTCTTCCCCCCAGAAGCCACACTGCTCTCATTCTAGCGGCTCGCAGGTCTCCAGGGAGAGCGGAAGGGGTTGATCTCACTGCAGGCTCCCCGACCCCCCAGCCAGTCTTGGTGCCCAGTTTGTGGAGGAAACGCAGAGTTAGGCGCTAAAACTCTCCCTCCCTGACTTCAGTGCCAGAAACTTCGTGTGTCACAGGCATCCTCTGTGGGGAAGTCCAGGCTTCCTGCAGGCCAGGAAGCCCTGCGTTAGTGCCGTGTGTGTGTGCGTGTGTGTGTGTGTGTTGTGTGTATGTGTGTGTGTGTGTGTGTGTGTGGACACCTAGTCCGGGCTTCCTGCAGGCCAGGAAGCCCTTCGTTAGTGCCATGTGTGTATGCGTGCGTGTGTGTGTGTGTGTGTGTGTGTGTGTATATGTGTGGTGTGTGTGTGTATGGTGTGTGTGTGCGGGGGTGTGTGTGTATGTGTGGGGTGTGTATGTGTGGGGTGTGTGGGGAGGGGGAGGGGAGGGGAGGGAGAGGGCGCCAGGGCAGGACAAGGGCTCCACCCCACCAGCTCCTGGGAGGGGATGGGGGGGAGAGGGGAGGCGGGGGGACTGCGCCGGGGCAGGAGAAGGGCTCCACCCCGCCAGCTCACCACAGGTTCACCAGGAAGACGTGCTCGATCTCCTGCAGGATCTCCAGCTCCCGGAACACGTTGCGGACCTCGCCCCGCTCCACGCACTGCTGCTTGTTCACATACTTCATGGCGAACATCTTCCCCGTGTCCCGCTTCTGCACGATGCACACCTGGGGGCAGACAGCACGTCAGCACCGCTGCCAGGACGGGTGCCGCGGCCGCAACAACACTGAAATGACCGGATTTCACGTCCTTGGCGGGACAAGTCTCCTGTGCAGACTGAAGCTGGGGGGGTCCCGGCCGGAGAGCGCAGAGGCCGGGGGTGGCTAGGCCTGCGTGGTGCCCGTGCCCCTCACCGGCCGAGACCTGGGATCCCCCTTCCCAGGGCTTGGGGCAGTGACTGGCTCGGAGGGTTGATGGGGCATGAACGAGAGGACCCCCTGCCTGGTGCCCTGCACCCAGGGAGCCCAGAAGCAAGAGCTGCTGCTCCCACCAAGCACAGGCCACCGTCCCCATCACAATAGGGACGCTCCCAGATAGTGGGGGCCTTGCACAGCTCAAATCCCAACCCTCTGAGCAGCGAGCTGCAATGTCAGTAAGCAGTGTCGACACTGCCAACACGGGGCTAACTGCTTGCAGAGAGGCCAGGATGCAGAGGGGAGTGAGAAGCACAGAATAAGGAGAAACTCGGCCTGGGGTCCCTCGTGGCCAAGAAGCATAAGTCAGAACCCGGACAAAGGAAACCAGGGTCAAAGAACAAAATACTGGGCTGCAGAACCACTGCCACGCCCCCCATTCAAGTGGAGACACCATCCCCCCAAGACACATAACCCCAAGCCATTTCCCACAGACTTCAGTCTCCAGATCTTCAAGGAGTGACAGCCAGAGACCTGGAGGAAGTGGAAAATTCTGGAGCTCCAGATGAGTGGGGGACTGTCCCAGATGCCTCACCCAAAGGCAGGTGGCCTGGCACTGATCAGACATCTCAACGGGCACCAGATCTTGGGCCAAACCTGATGGATCCAACCCTTTGGTGAAACCCATGTCCCTCACACAGGAACGCATCTTAGAAACGCAGTGACTTTTCCAAAGATGTTCTTCACAGGTGAACAAACTGTATAACACATTTTCAAACCACCTTAACATCCAACATCCTTATAGACACGGGCAACTAAGAGCAATGAAATATCACACAGCCACTGGAATAATATTTATAAATACTTTTAATGATGTGTGACAACTTAAAAAATGCCAAGGGAAAAGGTCAAGCTACGTTATTTAATGCAAACAGTGTAGGGATGACACACCCACATAGGCAGAAGCAAGACCTGCGCTTGGGCAAATAGAGCAGCCCCGCTGGGGCTGGGGCAGGGCACGCTGAGCCCCTCCCTGGCTTTCGTTCCTGCAGCGTCATTGTGGCGCCATCTGGTGGCAGACGCCCGAGGCCCAGGCGCACCCACGTGGTGAGACAGCCAGAGTCCTGCACACCCACATCTCCCCGCTACAGTGACCCTCACGGGCACAGCTGCGGTTTCGAGGTGACTCCACGCTCACCCCCGCGCTGCCCACAGGCCGTGTCAGGAGCCCCAAGAGGCAGAGCTCACAGGTGACGCCCACGGGCACAGAGGGGGCATCTTTCATGGCTGAGCTCTGCATACCCCGAGCCCACACGGCCCCACCTCGAACCCTGGGGCACAAACCCCACCAGGGGCTGCGACGGCCACCCAGACGCCCACGAAGCCCTGCCTGAAGCTGCATCACCTGGGCCAACCCCGGGAACTGCAGGGGTGGGGCTGGGGCGCTGGCCTGAGACCCACATCGCTTCAGGCCTCCAACGACGCCCACCTGGTCTCGAAGCCGTGAAACCACGCGGCCCCGACGGCGACAGGGCACATGCAGAAGGGAGCCCCGGACTGTGGGTGGGCAAGGGCAGCTCTGATGTCCCCCCAGCTTCTCTCCCCAGCCAGAGGGCCCTGCCTCCCGGGCCTGTCCCTCCCCTCAGGCCTGTCCACTCCGACTGGCTGGCCAGTGGCCTCTGAACTTGGCTGACCCTCCGTTTCTCCATCTGGCTCGCGAGCTTGTGAGGGGTCAGCGAGGACGGTGGGTAAGAGGCTTCTGCCAATTGGTCGTGGTCAAGGGCAAGTCCGGGCCTTGTGTGCACGAGTCCACCCAGGGCCGTGTTCCCTGCTGTGACCAGCTAAACGATGGCCCCCACGGATGTCCACATCCTCGTCCCCAGACTTTGTGAGCATGTGACGTCACCTGCAAAAAGGACTCTGTAGGTATGGTTAAGCTGGTGATGTCGAGGCGGGAGGCAGTCCTGGCAGGTGCAGGCAGCCCTAATCGTAATCACAGGGTTCTCGCGGGGGCGGCGGGGGCAGAGCGGAGACAGAAGAGGGTCTTGCTCGGCTCTGGCACCACAACGAAATGCCACAGGCTGCACAGCTCAAACAACAGGTGTTTCTCTCATGTATTCCCTGGAGGCTGGACGTCCAAGGTCAGGGTGCTTTCTGGCTCGCAGGTGGCGCCTCTCACTGTGTCCTCGCGTGGCCTCGCACGGTGACATCGCGTAGAGAGTGAGCCAGCTCTGGCCTCTTGTTCTTACAGGGACTCCACTCCCATCACGGGGGCCCCTCCCTCATGACCTCATCCAACCATCACAAACACCATCACCCTGGGGGCTGGGCTGCAACGTGGATCTGGGGATCCAGGCAACGCAGAAGGAAACGTGACACCTGGAGGGGCTGCAGCTCTGGGAGGAGGGCTGAGGCAAAGGACGGACTCTCCCCTCCAGCCTCCGAGGGAGGACGGCCCTGTGGGCCCCTTGATTCTAGCCCAGTTAGACTGAGGCCAGGGCTCTGGCCTTCAGAACCATAAGAATAAATGTGTGCTGTCTTAAGCCACCCAGTGTGTGGTCACTCGTTACCGCAGCCCCAGGAAACAAATGTAGCCACTCAGCCCTCCAGGTGCCCTGAAGGACCTGGACGAGGGTCGGTGTCACTGCCATGGAACACTGCTTTCCAAGCTGCCAGGGCTGCTCTGGGCCATAACGGGCAACCTGTCACTGAGTACGCCAGGCCCTGGTGGACAGAGACTGGCCAGGAGAGAAGCCAGGGCAGGTGGCCACGCTGCAAGGCCCCTAAAGGCCACTCATTTTAGGACAGTGAGCCTTTCTGAATCTTTCCTCTCATTTCAGCAAAGCGGCCCCAAGGTTGCCCTGGGATGGCCAGAGCACTCTCCCCAGCTGACTGCCCTGGGCGTTGGGGACGCACACCCAGAACCTTCCAAGCTGCCCGGGGACAGCACAGGCTTGACTTAGTGTGCTTTCACGCGTCTCCATGTGCCCGGCCCTGGCCTGAGAATGTCACCCAGAAATGCAGACTGACGAAGGGGAGACAGAGACCCAGTCCTGGGCGGCTACATAACTAAGTTTGATAAAGTGCAGTTACACCAGTTAAAAGCCTGTCACGTCTGCTCTCCAAATGCCTTCTCGGGACTTCTGAGCCTGTGGCAGGGCTGGCGTGAGGCACCAGCCTTCCCCTCCACCGCCCCCCAGCCAAAGATCCAAGGGAGGGGCCGAGAAGGAAGCGGCCGGCAGGGCCCCAGAGGGGCAGGTGGGCTGCCCCACGGGGGCTCCTGGCCGAGGTCACGGGAGAACCCCAGAGCTTCTGCACATGCCATGGGGCACATTCCGTGGCTGTCAGCCTGGCTGAGTCCCTTGGGAGCTCTGAAGGCCAGTGCCTGCCCCTGGGGCTGCCCCCAAGCTCCTCACAATTCCATCA